TTATTTATGTATTTTAGTCTATAGTCTATTCAAAGTGTAGCAAAAGAATTTTACGGCAAACACATTTGGCATTAAATGTTTAGAAAACATAATTTGACACTGATCTTTCTGCTGAGTACAAGGGATAAATGTTTTTGTAGGTGGCAAAAATGCTGTGTAATACAACTAGTTAGGATTTTGTTGCTCAGCCTAACGTAATATGAAACATAGGTCGGCCACATATGGGTCAATTTGCAAATGACTTTTCGTTCAAAAAGTGGACCTAAGAATAACACAGGTCTGCGACTAAAAAGCTGTTTGATTATTTCCATCTAATTTCCATGTATTTTGGTGTGCTGAAAACAAATAAAATATTGAAAAAACTCCTAGACGTCACGATTTGCCACAAAATGCAAAATTATCTTCAAATTTATCAAATTTTTTTTTAATTTTTGGCATTTTTTTTATATTATGGGTTTTTAACCAAATTTAAAGTCCAAATTACTATTAATTAATTCACATAAGTGCATTTAAGATTTAAAATGCCAAAAAAACCTTAAAGGGGTTGTCCGAGTTATGTAAAAAAAACATATATAGCACTGTAAATCTGATGGTCAGCAATATATACATAAGCTAAGCAAGTTTTAGGGGGAAAAAAATTCTATTTCCTCATTTCCCTAGTTCTCTTCTGGTCCTTTGTTGTTATTTGCAGGTAAACAATCTTGCATGGAGCCCCAGTCCGAGGGAGACTGACAGTCGTCTTTAGCCTCTTCCATTTTCTAACAATTGCTCCAACAGTTGATCTATTTTCACCAAGCTGCTTGGCAATTGCCCCGTAGCCCTTTCCAGCCTTGTGGAGGTCCACAATTTTGTCTCTGGTGTCTTTTGACAGCTCTGTGGTCTTGCCCATGGTAGTAGTTGGCGTCTGACTGACTGTGGGGTGGACAGGTGTCTTTAAAGAGCTCAGACAGGTGCTACTAAGTTAGATTAATGAGTGGAGTAGAGGTGGACTTTTTACACAGTAACAGGTAGGCACAGTAGGCACAGTAACAGGTCTTTGAGAACCAGAATTCTTGCTGTTTCTTAGGTGTTCAAATACTTATGTTCAGCAGTGCAAGAGAAATACATTCTTTAAAAATCATACAATGTGATTTCCTGAATTTTTTTTCAATTCTGTCTCTCAGAGTGGGAATGCACATACAATGTGAATTTCAGACCCCTCCATAATTTCTAAGTGGGAGAACTTGCAAAATCGCAGGGTGTTCAAATACTTCTGTTCCTCACTGTATACAGTGCAGGGGTCAGCAGGAAAAAGTAACCAAAAAAAAAAAAAGGGTGCACTGGCCTAGTGCATTATCCTTAAAATATGATTTTATTTTCATAAAAATGGTAAGTATTTTACTCACAGAAGATGAGTAAGACAAAGGCTCATTATAAAACAACAGCACCATCCAGTCCGCAATACATTACATCTCATCCAGGGGCGGACTGACCATTTGGAAACTCTGGCACTGCCGGAGGGCCCGGGGTCAGTAGGGGGCCCCATGAGATGCCCCCGGTACCTTTTTCATAGGCTTTTTTGAGTTTGGGCAAGGACACAGGGGCCCCATGATCCCCTATTGCCCGGGGGCCCCATGAGTTGTCAGTCCACCCCAATGCGCACTCACTGGACGTGCACTATTAATGTGCAAAATATATAATATCCTGGTGTCATCAGGTAGCCATCTGGGCCAGCGGATGGAACAAGCCCCCTCTCAGGATGGTTATGGTCCAGGGATTAAGGTACTGATGCTCCAGGGGTGTCCAGAGTTCCCCTTTAGGGATGGATGGGTGCAGCTCTCAGAAGATAAGACAGAGGCTCCCTCTCTAGATACACTGGGTACTGGGCGTCTAGGAAAACAATACATGCCTCTTACTAAATACCTCAGATTGTCTTCTTTCCAAAAATGGGTAATTTGGGGGATATCTGTACTGTCCTGCTTTGTGCAGTTTTTAGCACTGATCACTATATTGGTGTCACTGGCCCAGTGTCAGAATGCCAGCCGCAGTCCTGCTATAAGTCACTGATCACCACCTTTACTCAGGAGCAGGATAAACAGGCATAAGGATCTGGCAGCAAGGAAGGCAATCAAAACACTAACACTGGGGGAATGACTTGGTGTCATGGATGCCATGTTTGCAAGAAATTGTGTTTTGGAAATTGTAGAAAATAGTTGAGATTCACTTTCAGATACATCTGTTATATTAAAGAACAGAAGGTGGGGCTGGGTGGGAAGCATGACCTCAGAGATCAGAGCATCCTGTAGCTAACAAACAGAAGGCAAGGCTGGTTGGGGAGTGTGTCAGCAGCTGTCTGATCACAGGAGTACAGGCACATTGAGACACACCACATTGAGACATGAATATTGAGGAATTGAAAGGTGCTTGCAGGAGGGGATGAGGAAGGGTTAGAACTTTTGGACCTTTGTATCCTGGCGATACCACACTCATCATCATTTCTTGTACAGGGAAAGAAAATGAGGGACAATCTCCCCAATATGGATACAGACAAAATAAAAAAACCTCTCTCTACTTTACCTAATCTGAAATGTCTTCAGTCAGAATTTAAAGTTAAAGTCATTCTTTTGTAACATGTTCATATTACACCCATATTCAGGGGTAACATGTTACAATTGTACCAGCCCCCTCACCCGCCATTCCCTTTTTGTGACAGATAGCGGGGGATCTTCTCCCCCCTCTAGCTTCAACAATTTAAAAAAAACATGGTGGGGCTCCTCCCGGCCGGCTGCATCATTCATTCACATAGTTTTGTGAATGGGAAACTGCAAGTTGCAACAGCCTTAGCAGTTGTTGGTTTGTAGTTCTCAATGAATTAGCGGGACACTGATGAACACTGTGTTAGTTCATTGATTCTTCCTGTCACTGTAAAACTGCCTGCTCATACGAAGTACGTGCAGACAGATTACTCTGACAGGCTGCAGTAGTCCTGCATGACTCTAGCGATCTACTGATCACTGGTGCACTGCTTTTCAGGCTCCTAAAACAAAAAATAGTAAATGTACAATTTTACCATTTTTTTTTTGTTAAAAGTTGAATTTATCCTTTAAAGCATAAGTTTACCGTTAGGAACATGTTATATGTTCCACCCGTTTTTTAGGGTAGAATGTATAACATGTTCCCAATGCTGCAGTCGCGGCCCAATTTCCCTGGAAGGAGCAATATTCTTGAAAACAACCACCTCTTCACTTTTATTATTTATTAGGGATAAGGGAAACTGGAAGTTTTCTTTTCCATTAAATTTTGGCAAATATGAAGATTTCACCAAAATGTTGCCATTTTGGCTAAATAAATTGGATCCAATGCTGAAGTCAAAAATTACTGTGGGATTTGATGATTTTGAAAGTTGCCATAGTCTTTATATATCTAATGAGGGTTACTAAGGCTCTTTAACTAACCTGGCCCTGCTTTTGTGCTGAAAATAGACTCCCGTTAATCCTAGCATTTTTTTTTACAGGTTAAAGTTTATTAACTAAGTACAGCAGTAAACAATTGCAGCTTACAATTCAAATGGCAGAAACACATAGGGTGTACACAATCAGTAATGTCATTACTTCAGTAAAACTAGTGATACAGAGATAGAACAGGTATCTTAAAGGTTTACAATGGATCACCTGGTAACAATAGTATGCCACATCCATGATAGCTCATTCGAGCAGGCATAAAGAACAGCGTTTGAATTCCCAGTGTAATACAATCCCCATCACAATACAAATGAGGAGGGATGGAAAAGTTAGGCGGTAAGGGAGCCAGAAAGGAAAAAGGGGTATAAAACTCACCATTTAAAGGTTAAGTGTAAGATTTTTTAGGTCAGTTCCTACTCTGGCCTTTTCCTGACAATCCTCTCCAGGCTGCGGTCATCCCTGCTGCTTGTGCACCTTTTTCTTCTTCCACACTTTTCCCTTCCACATAACTTTCTATTAATGATTAGCTGATTAGAGTGGGACACTTTGAGCCGAGAATATTACACCTTTTCACAATATTCTAATTTTCTGAGATTGTGGATTTGGGGTTTTCATGAGCTGTAAGCCATATTCATCACAATTATGACAAATCACGGCTTGAACTATCTTGCTTTGCATGTAATGAGTCTATCTCATATATTAGTTTCACTTTTTAAGTTGCATTACTGAAATAAATGAACTTTTGTACGATATTCAAATTTTTCGAGTTTCACCTGTATATTCACATCAGTCCATGCTCTCAAGGAGCTTACAATCTAAGGTTCCTATTATTTACACATACTAGGGCCAATTTAGACAGGATCCAATTAACCTACAAGCAGTTAATCAACTACCTACATACTTTGTGTTTCCTTACGTTCCAGCATGCCTTTTTTACATCTTTATTTCTGAGGCTGTATATTAGTGGGTTCAGCATGGGAATGACATTGGCAAAGAGGACACTCATCACTTTGCGCTGGTTTTGGGTGACAGCTGATCTTGGTGTCATATACAGTACAAAAATCACAGAGTAGAACAAAGTCACAGTGGTCAGGTGGGATGTACAAGTTGAAAATGCTTTGGGTTTCCCTTCTGAAGTCTTTATTTTAACAATAGTTAAGATGATAAAGACATAAGAGATTATAGTGGGCAGAAAACATGTTGTTAGAAACAAAACTCCTTCTACAAATATGATATTCTGGGTAATGTCTGTGTTGGTGCAAGAGAGCTCCAGCAAGGTGGCAATATCACAGAAGAAATGATTAATCGCATTAGATGAACAGTAGCGATTCTGAGATGTTGTAACTGCAATAGGTACACATGCGATAAAACCAATTATCCAAACACTCACCGAAGTTGCTGTACAGAATGTCCTATTAAGGAGAACCGAATAATGCAGAGGTCTACAGACAGCAACATATCGATCATAAGACATAACTGTGAGAAGAAAATACTCTGTAGATGTAAATGCAACAAAAAACGTATACTGTGTTATGCATTCTGATAATGTTATTGAATTACTGGCAATTACAAAGATATTTATGAGTTTAGGTGAAGTAGTGGAAGTGTATACAATATCCAGGCAGGCAAGGTTAGACAGGAAAAAGTACATGGGTGATGTCAGAGAAGCACTCACATATGTGAGAATGATCAGGAATGTGTTTGCCATCAAAGTAGTAATATGAGATAACAAAAAAACACAATAAAATGAATTTCAAGGCCTGGGAAATTGGAAAATCCTACCATAATAAAATCCGCGTGCAATGTATAATTGTGCAGGTTTGCATCTGGGGGGCTTTTAGGCAAAAAACGGAAGCTTGTTCTAATAAAATGATCCATAAGAATTACTTTCTATATTTTAGAGCTTGAGAAAGCCACGTCTCTCCTCTCACATTTGAAGTCCTGGGTGTAGATATATAAATAAACAAAATCATGTAGAGAAAGTACAATATTTACGTATTAAATGAATTATGCAGGGCTATTTTAGTACACAATTCCTTCAGGGACTAGTGATGAGCCAAACATACCTGTGTATGTTTGGAGAGTATGAATAAAGTTTGGGTGCCAAATCTGAATTTTCTAGCCCAATAGGCAAGGGATTATTAAACAGGCAGCATTGGGGGTGGGTGTTGCAAACCCGGGGGAAACACTCCTACATGCAAAAGTGGGAGAGAACTATAGGGGAGGAGTAGTTCTTTAGAGGCCTGGCAAGTCATATGGTCTCGGGTCACTAAGAGCTCTACATGCACAATCTATGAGGGAAATTCATATAAAATATTATAGTTTTGGTACTTGACACCTGAGCTTCTTTATTTTATTCACCTAACAGCTAGTGATCGATGCTTTAAAGAATAGGGTTCCTTATTACACAGATGGTTCACCACATTCTTCAGTGATTATTTGATTTCCCTTTATTCCTAAGGTGTGTTTGCTAGTCCTGCTCCCCCCTTCTCTTTCTAACCAAAAAACTGTTGCCCCACGTTCTTACAGCGGCGCACTGTTTAGTAGCTCTGCATTGGAAAATAAGGGACTGTCTGTCCTCCACTGAGCTTTACTCTAGAATCAAATATGTGGAACTTATAAAACCACTTACAGCAACCATGACCAACAGTCTTGATTGGAGATCAAGAGGCCAAGGTCTGGGAGCTTTGGCACCTTAGGGAGGATCTTCATTGATATTCGACTTCCTACATTATCTCTAGATGATCGACAATTTCCGGACAGTCCAATTATTTTAGAGGAGATTGATAAAACCCTTGCCACATTTGCCAAACATAAAACCCCTGGCTTAGATGGATTTTCCATTGAATGGTATGTGGCTCATAGAGGATACCTTGTGCCTTGCCTAAAAATCCTTTACCAAGCCATATTAGAGGAAAAGATGCTGCCCCCATCAATGTGAGAGGCGATAATTGTTTTAATTCCTAAACCTAATAAGGATCTCACTTTCTGTGAATCCTTTAGACCTATTTCATTGATTAATACTGATCTTAAAATCCTCATAATACGTCTAGCTCATTGTCTCAATACAGTGGTTGCTTCACTTGTAAAATCAGATCAAACTGGTTTCATCCCTGGATGATCTACTATTACCTTTCGTAGACTTTTCACAAATCTTCAGATGCCGAATGTCCTGATTGCCCCTGGAGCTTTGGTGTCTCTTCACACGCATAAAGCGTTTGACTCTATAGAGTCACCTTATTTAGTTCAGGTGCTGCAAAAATTTGGTTTTGGGAAGTTTTTGTATATACACAACCTTCAGCTCATTTAAGAGTTATTGGTCACATTTCAGATCCTTTCACCATAAGTAGAGGTACCAGGCAGGGGTGCCCTCTTTCACCCCTACTATTTGCCCTGTTTATAGAATGTTATACAAAGTGTTGTATGCTTTAAAGTAGGAAAAGTTTGATTGGACTGGAGGAGGACCTGCCCAGTGTCATTAGTACAGTATCAATGATTTTTATTAGCACTGATCACTGTATTAGTGTCACTGTAGATGTCAGTGGCAGCTAGTTCCCACCCAGTGTCAGAATGCCTATAAGTCTACAAGTCACTGATCACTGCCATTACTAGTATTAAAAAAAAAAGAAATTCCAGTATCTATACCGCCATTTGTAGACGCCATAGCTTTCATGTGAACCCATTAATTTACACGCATTGGGAATTGTTTTGTAGCAAAGACATGTAGCAGAATACATTTTGGCCTAAAATGACGAAATTAGATTTTTTAAATTTATTTACTAGATATGTTTTATAGCAAAAAGTCAAAAGCATTGTGTTTCTTTCAAAATTGTCAGTCTTTTTTTGTTTATAGCACAAAAAATAAAAACTGCAAAGGTGATCAAATACCACCGAAAAAAAGCTCTACTTGTGGGAAAACAATTACATAAATTTAATTTATGTACAGAGTTGCATGACTGTGCAATTGTCAGTTAAAGTAACTCAGCGCCATATTGCAAAAAAATGGCCTGGTTGTGAAGGGGGGTAAATCCTATGGAGGGCAAGTGGTTAAACGCCCTGAACAGCTGATGAAAGCTGGATCTCAGGAAGCACAGCTGGCAGTTGTGATTAACACATCGCACTTACCTCCACCATCCTTTGCAGAGATATTATCTGAAGCTCTCTTATAAGTTTCAATTGGTTGATCAAATTTACAGTATATTCAGTATTTGCATTTGACTTTTAACCTTACCTTGACCAAACCCTCTCTTCCACTTTGTATTGTCTTCAATCTTTATTTCAAAATATTTCTGGTAGTTCCAACAGGCAATACTTCAAGTCTTTTAGGATATGCAAAAGTTTGTGCATTTTCTAGTCTCACTTCTAATTAAAGATTAGAAATACACACCATGTAAACTGTATTTATGAATATAAAGAGTCCCAGTGGATATCGAATAATTGTGGATGGCTTTAGGGACAAGTTTCAGACTTTGACCAAAACTCTAGCTGTTCACGGTTCAGAAAAACACAATGGGAAAGTTCACCACCAAAGCAACCATTACCAAGCAAGCTTTTTTAGCTATAAAAAATATATAGTAAACTCAAAGTTGGTTATAAATTTAGGCCAAAATGTATTCTGCTACATGTTTTTGGTAAAAATAAATCCCAATAAGTGTATATTGATTGCTTTGTGTGGAAGTTATAGCGTCTACAAACTATGGTATAGATACTGCAATTTACGCTATTTTTTTTGCTATACAGCGCTGCGCTAGTTTAACGGACAATTGAGCGGTCATGCAATATGGTACATAAATGAAATTTACATCCTTTTTTTCCCCACAAATTGAGCTTTCTTTTGGTGGTATTTGATTGCCTGTGCGGTTTTTTATTTTTTGCGCTATAAAAAAAAAAAAAAAAAAGGCTGACAATTTTGAGGAAAAAAAACAATATTTTGGACTTTTTGCTATAAAACATGTCCAGTAAAAAAAAATTTAAAAAATCAAATTTAGTCATAAATTTCTGCCAAAATGCATTCTGCAACATGTCTTTGCTACAAAAAAAACCCAATACGTGTAAATTAATTGGTTTATGTGAAAGTTATAGCGTTTACAAATGGCGGGAAAGATACTGGGATTTTTAGTTTTTTTTATACTAATAATGGCGGCGATCAGCGATTTATGGCTGCGATCAGTGACTTATGGCGGCGATCAGCGACTTATGGCGGGACTGCGGCAGACATTCTGACATTGGAGGGTACTGACTTGGGGTCACTGACATCCCCAGTGACACCAATACAGTGATCAATGCAAAAAAAAAACAAAAACACTGACACTGTACTAATGGCACTGGGGAGGAAGGGGTTAACTTTATTATTCAGGGAAAGGGTTAACTGTGTGAGGGGAGTGTTTTACTAGGGGGCGGGGGGTGTGTACTGAAGGGAACTCCGCTGATCGGGAGAGAGAAACTCCTCTGTCAATGCTGGTACTGTACTATTTTTCCTTTCAATTACATCAGTGAGACAGGGACAGTCCTTCCTTTCAGTGACACCACCCATGGTGGGACATTTTTCTGTCCAGTGACACAACTGAAGCAGGGTCAGTAACAAGAGTAATCAGGATCTAGGCAAAACTAGGAAAGGCTAAACGCTATCTCTAGCCCAGATCCCTGAGCTTGTGACACTTAGATATAGCCTGGTGGTGAGTAGGGATGAGTTGACAGTTTTGACGGAAACTAGGTTCAGACTGAACTTTTGATATTAAGATGCACAAATTTTTGCCCATGTGTCCCCCTGTACTATAGGAGTTGAGCACCATAAATAGAAGCAGTAGTTCTTCCTGCTGTCAATTGTTATTTAGGATGCAGCAGGAGTTGGCACCTGCTGCAATCCTAGCAACCGCCGCTGTCACCAGGACTACAATGCTTACACAGCCAGGAAGCACCGGTCACATAAGTAAAAGTGTAGGGATAGCAGTGACATCATTGCTCAAATATAGTCACTGACCATGGCCAAAGTTAGTCAATGATGTCAGTAATATCCCTGTCCCCTGCCTTACATAGCTGACGACAGCTCCTGAAGTTATTTGGCATGCAGTTAGGATTGAGTGTGTGTACCATGTTCTTCAATTTTGGCGAGTTGGTGAGTAGTGGGCATTTGTGACTGATGATGACTATACAACCAGGGACATTTTTTGGGAAGTTGAATTTTTTTTTTTAAAAAGGACGTGTCAAACATTTCAGTGTCATTACTTATGTTACCTTTTTTTTGTGAATTAATTGGTGGTCATCATGGAATGCCTGAACAATTAATTTAATCAGCTAAATTGCTCACATCACAGTGCCTCCAGTATAAAAATAATTTAAATTACTTAATTATTCTGAGTTAATTCTAGCCAAGCAAAATTCTTTAAAAACACAAACAAGATCAGCGGGAGTATGGTCTGAAGATTACAAACATAAATTAATATTTATTTACAAAAAGTGACAAACACCATTAATAATAGTCAGATTGTGATATACATAGACACTAAGATAATTGGGTAAAAGTTCTAAAATTGTCTGTAACAATAAAGTGTGTATATATATATATATATATATATATATATATATATATATATAGTAACCTTTTAGATAGCTAATGACCAGACCCAAAGATGGCTGCCGATTAATGGGCGGAGTTGGTCTTCCCCAAAATGGCATATAGCTATGCAAGAGCTGTGTGTCCTGGCTTCA